CCAGAAGCCAGGGAGGGATGGAGACCTAAATCTGCATGTTTATGGGGGTCTGGCCAATCCCAGGTTTGGAGGCCCTGGTAGAGTGGTGAGGCCAACCCATAAATATGGGAGAGCAGGGCTGGATCTAGCCTGTCCAATGTGGGGGTGCAGTAAAAAATGTCGGGCAGAGGATGTGAGGTCAGCAGGGCAGTGTATTGGAATCAGTAGAGCAGTGTACAGGGGTCAGCAGGGCAGAGAATAGGGTCAGCATTTTTTAGGGCAGAGTACAGAGACCGTTAGTTTGTAGGGCAGTGTACAGTGGGTTATCAAGTTATCAAGGCAGTGCACAGAGTTAGCAGGGCAGTGGACAGAGGTCAGCAGCGGAGTGTACAAGACGGCAGTGTACAGGTGGTCTGTAGGGCAGAGGACAGGGGTCAGCAGGGCAGAGAACAGAGGTCAACAAAGCAGATGACAGAGGTCAGCACGATGGAGAACAGGTGTTATCAGGGCAGAAGACAGGGGTCAGCAGAGAAAAGGACTGGGTTTACTGGTGGCAGATCACTCAGCGGAGCTCCTACTCCCATCTCCACACTGCACATAGCCTGTGCACTCAGCCAATCTCTTCCTCCCCACTCAGGACACAGCTTGGATCGGATTCTCTTACAGACATAGCATTGATCTGCAGTGTGTAGCTGGCTACCACAGCTGTGCTGCCATTCAGATCTGGGAATCTCACAAGTCAGAACTGCAACATAGCAGCCAGTTATATACTATGCAGATTGAGGCTGTGTTTGTAAGGGATCCGATCTAAGCTATGTATTGTGTAGGGAGGAGGAGATCTGTTGAGTATCCTGTGTGTAGCACAGGCAATGCTGGGACAAGGTCATCTAGCACCTAGAATGGAGATGACAAACTGTAAACATCTGTCTCAGCATAAATTCCTCCCCATCAAAAAAAAGACTGTACCAATTAGTAGACTCTCCCCCTCAGCATAAATTCCATCTGTAAGCTAAAATTATTTCACCCAAAATATCCCCCTCCTCCCAGGTCCAAATCCACCCTCCCAGTACAAATATGTGCCCTCTAATCCTGCCTTTCAGCTCAAATCCCACACCAATTCCCCCCTCCTAGCACAAATCTCCATCACCCCCCAAAAATCACCCCTCTTAACACACATTCTCCTTCTTCTCAAATTTCCCATCCTAGCACATATCTCCCGCAAATCCTCCCCATCATAAATTCCCCCAAATTGCACAATCCCCCCCATCACCCCTATTAGCCCAAATTCCCCCACCACCTCCTTAGCCCAATCCCCCCCTCACTGCACAAATCCTCTCCCCCCAATCCCCCCTCCTAGAAAAAATTCTCCCCAATCCCTCCTCCTAGCACGCATCTCCCCAATACCCCCTTATTACAAACCGCCCAGCACAAAAATTCCTCCCAATCCCTTCTGGCTCAATTCCCCCAAACCCCCTCCTAGCATATATCATTCCCCCCATCCCTCCTTTTAGCCCAAATCCCACGCCCCCCATCCCTCCACCTAACACAACCCCCTACAAATCCTCCCTCCCTACCCAAATCCCCGCCATCTTACCACAGCCTCCCAGCAGAAAAATATACACCAATCCCCCTTTCTGGCTCAATTCTCTCCAAACCCCCCTCCTAGCACATTTCATCCCTCCCCCATTTCTCCTCCTAGCACACATTCCCAAAGCTTCCCCACCCACGTGTCCTGCTGCCAGGTGATGAGCAGCCCTTGGAGGACATAGGGAGCGGGTAATCAAACCACATGTGCAGCCCGAAAGAAGAGCAATCCTGTGTTATCTGTCACATGGAGGAACACCGCTCTGATAGGAGGGGAAGGCACAGCACCCGCTATAGCCTCTCTCCTCTCTACCACTCCTCCTTTTCGGGCTTTCCCTCCCCTTGTAGGCTTGTACAGGTGCTGACTGCGGGGCTAGAGGGAAGTAGCCAGGTGATTAGCTGGCCTGGGGGGCACAATGGAAATCTGGAGGGGCGTAGACCACCCCAGCACCCCCCTAGTTCTGGCCATGTGGGAGAGCCATGCTAGCGGGGAGTCGGGTGGAAGATAGAGGGCTGAGGAGGCTGTCGGTGGCCTGTGAGAGGTGCCCTAGGTCTGGGGGGGTTGGCCTCCAGGCTGGGCTTGGGCTGACTCAGGAGGATCCATTCAGCATCACAGTATGAACAGGATCAATGCCTGGGAGCAGCGGGAGCAGGGAGGACAGCGTGAGTACATCATCTCACCCAGGGATTCACAAGGGGAGAGACTGCAGCCAGGAGGGCTGGTAGTGTCTGCAGGTTTTGGAGCTGGGAGCAATTCTGCAGGGGAGAGGAGAAACTTCTGCATGTAGTTTCCCTTCCCATAATCCCTATTACCCCTCCCATAATCCCTATTACCCCTCCCATAATCCCTATTAACCTTCCCATAATCCCTACTACCCTTCCCATAATCCCTATTACCCTATCCAAGTTACATACCCTAATAAAATAACAAAAACCAACCTCATGGACTGTTCACTGACTGTGGATGCAAGCATGGAAAATGTGCATTGCCTGGCTGTGCAAAGTTTAGGGGGACCCATAAACACAGCAGCCCTCAAGACGGTAACACTACACTAGATACCCAAAAGTCCTAAAGTATACCTGTCATGAAAGAAAATATAGGGGCTGCCATTCCTGACCGTCTTCTGACAAATAGTTGCCTGGCTGTTACATTACCATTAAAGTGGTAATGTAACCCCTGACATATAACCAGCAAAGTGACTGGCCTCAGGATACACAAGGATTAAACAAAGCCTCCTACATATGTTGTACCTGTTTATCTGCAGTTTTCTGTGCTCTACCTCCCTTTCTCTTCACAGTGCTGACAAAGTTTGTCTGAGAGTTCAGAAAAAAAGGGGTGGAGAGCTGAAATTACACACTGCAGCTGATTGGAGGGACCAGCCCCCCACCCCCTCCCCTGTCACTGTTTTTCTGACAGAAATGACACTTAGTGCTCTGAATTGAGACAAGTACACACTATAGAGGGATATGCTTTGTTCATATTTCAATGTCCTAATGCTTTTTGAGTTACTAAACTGTAAGAGGAATGCACATCAGAAAAGCTGGAGTCAGAAGTCGATGCTTTTTATCAGTCAATGACTAGGAATGTACTGAAACCAGAGGGTCAGCATGACACCCAGCACTTCCAGCAATTAGCACTCTCTGTTATCACTCATGACAGGTTCTTGTTTTTCAGGAACCAGATAAAATTCAGCATCAGATAGTGGAAAAGAAACCAGTTGCTGTATAACACCATTCACTGTTCTTCTAAGGTCATAACTAGGCAGAACAATTACTGAAAGCAGGAGTTATGTCATTTAAAGTCTAAACTTTTACATTTTAGATCTAAACTCAAAATGTTTTTTTACCTTCATGCATTCTCTACATTAAGGTAAGAAAACCTTCTAATACCTGTTCCCTTCTTCCAATCCCTAAGAATTTACCTGAGTCCTCTCATACGCCAGCAGTCTTGGATGGAGCGCCACTACTCAATTTATAGTCTCACAGGAGACAATGAGAGCAGTGGGAGCCATTGGCTCCTGCTACTGTCAGTCAAATCCTGGCAGGAGGGAACAGGAAGCGTGGTCAAGCTGCACTGTGTGTGTCAATGGATACACACAGCCTGGCTCGGGAGCACGCCTACACGGGTGTCCCTTTGGCAGACGGCTTGCTATAGGGGCATTTGTAAGAAGAAGGAGCAGACTGCACCAGCGGGGGGGCTCCAGAGGTGGTAAGGGACCACTCTGTGCAATACCATTAAGTATGACAACTTTTTAAAATAAAAAAATAGCCTTTACACGCGATTTAAATCAATTTAAATAATTAATTCAGATTAGTACCTAAACCTGATGTCCTGTTAGTAACATGAGATTGTATTGAAATGTGTGACTGGTCTCTAACAAGGCATCCCATGTTTTTCCTCTACATTACTTACACTCAGGGCTTTTTTCTGCTGAAATTCAGTAGCACTCAGTACCACCAACTCCAGCACTGGATGCAGAGCTACTAATATCCTATGGTCGCAGACCACTCTTCAGACAGCAAAACAAGTGTAAACAAAGCCTAAAGGCTGTCCATAGGGTATAACATGTAACATAGTGCTTACCCCCCGCAGTCTTCAACATCACAACAATATAATGGGGATCCAAGTGACATCATTGGTCAAATATGGTCATGTGCATATATGGTCAGTGATGTCAGCCGGGAGACCTCACCCTTTTGCATTGTGGCAGCTGTGACTGGGAGAAGTCATTCCACAGGCTTTGGACATGATGGCAGTGTTGTTTCTTTTGGCCATCAGGGCTTCATGATTGATGTGGATCTGAATTGCTGGATAACCACTTGCCCTCCTGAGGATTTACCCCCCTTCCTGACCAGGCCATTTTTTGCGTTACGGCGCTGCGTTACTTTAAAACTGACAATAGTGCGGTCATGCAGTGCTGCACCCAAATGAAATTTACATCCTCTTTTTACCACGAATTGAGCTTTCTTTCGGTGGTATTTGATTGCCTGTACGTTTTTTTATTTTTTGCGCTATAAAAAAAAACAAAAAAAAACAGACTGACAATTTTGAGAAAAAAAATTATATTTTTGACTTTTTGCTATAAAACATGTCCAGTAAAAAAATCTAAAAATTCAAATTTCGCCATAAGTTTAGGCCAAAATGTAAAGAGCAGGGCCCTCGAACCCCTCGTGTATTGTTTTGTTACTGTATTGTCTCATGTTCTGTCCCCCACTATAATGTACAGCGCTGAGCAAACCTTCTGGTGCTATATAAATACTGTATAATAATAATATTATTCTGCGACATGTCTTTGATAAAAAAAAATCCCAATACGTGTAAATTAAATATGACGGATGCAAGCAGGTTCTCTCGTTCTGGGAGGACATCATATGACGTCCTCCCATTCTAACCGCACATGCGCTGCTCCCGGAGCACGCAGCGCAGCGATCAGCGTTGCGCTGTGTCCCTCGGACACAGCGGATCACTGATCCACAGAAAGAGCCGAAGATGTTGGCTTGGTCATGGGATCAGCTGTCTCCAATCACAGCTGATCACATGTAAACAGGGAAATGCCGATTATTGGCATTTCTCTCCCCACGAGCTGTCACGCTGACAGCTCGAGAGGAGAGGAGAGCTGGTAATCGGCATTCCTCGGAGGGGACATGTACACTGATCATCAGAGCACTGATGATCAGTGTGCCCTGATGATCTGTGTAGCCCCAGCAGCACCACCTGTCAGTGTCCATCAGTGCCAGCTCTTATTGCTCATCCATGCCACCTGCCAGTGCCCATCAATGCCACATATTAGTGCCCATCTGAGCTGCCTTTCAGTGTCACTCATCAGTCCCAGTCAGTTCCACCTATCAGTGCTGCCAATCAGTGCCACCTATCAGTGCCAGTCAGTGCTGCCTATCAGTGTGCACATCAGTGCCGCCGCTCAGTGCCCTTCAGTGCTGCCTATCAGTGCCACCTGACAGTGCCAGTCAGTGACACCTAACAGTGCCAGTCAGTGCCGCCTATCAGTGCCATATATGAGTGCTTCCTTTCAGTGCCCATCAGTGATGCCTATCAGTGCCACCTACCAGTGCCTCCTCATCAGTGCTACCTATCAGTGTCCATCAGTGCAGCCCATCAGTGCCCATCACTGCAGCCTTATTAGCACACATCAGTGAAGGAGAAAAACCACTTATTTACAAAATTTTATAACAAAAACTAAGAAAAAACTTTTTTTCAAAATTTTCAGTGGTTTTTGGTTTGTTTAAGAAAAAAATAAAAAAAACACAGAGTTGATTAAATACCACCAAAATAAAGCTCTATCTGTCACAAAAAAATGATAAAAATTTCATATGGGTACAGTGTTGCATGACAATTGTCAAAGTGCAACAGCGCTGAAAGCTGGAAATTGGCCTGGGCAGGAAGGGGGTATAAGTGCCCTGTAGGCTAGTGGTTAATTGGTTTACGTGAAAGTTATAGCATTTACAAATGGCGGTATAGATACTGGGATTTTTTTTTTTACTTGTAATGGCGGCGATCATACCCCCTGGTCAATTTTCAGCTTTCAGCGCTGTCGCACTTTGAAAGACAATTGTGCGGTCATGTAACATTGTACCCATATGAAATTTTTATAAATTTTTTCTCACAAATAGAGCTTTCTTTTGGTGGTATTTACTCGCCGTTGGGTGTTTTACTTTTTGCGCTATAAACCAAAAAGAGCAAGAAATTTGAAAAATAAAAAAAAAGTTTCTTTGCTTCTGTTATAAAATTTTGCAAACAGGTAATTTTTCACCTTCACTGATGTGCTTTGATGAGGCTGCACTGATGGGCACTGATAGGCGGCACTGGTAGGAAGCACTGATTTGCGGCACTGATGGGCACTGACAGGCAGCACTGATTGGAAGCACTAATGAGGTGGCACAGATAGGCGGCACTGATAGGTGGCACTGATAAGCTGGCACTGATGATGGGTACTGATAGTCGCCACTAACTGGGAGCACTGCTGGGCACTGACTGGCGCAACTGCTGGGTGGCACTGACTGGGCACAGGTGGGTGGCACTGCTGGGCACTTGCGGGCGGAACTGGTGGGTGGCACTGCTGGGCACCGATCATCAGGGCACTGTTCGGCGGCACTGATTGGCACTTATAGGCGGCACTGATTAGCAGCACTGAGGTGGCACAGATAGGCGTCACTGATAAGCATCACTGATAGGCAGCACTGATGAGCTGGCACTGATGATGGGTACTGATGGTCGGCACTGACGGGCACTGACTGGCGGTACTACTGGGCGGCACTGACTGGCGGCACTGCTGGGCACAGGTGGGCTGCACTGCTGGGCACATTTGGGCGGAACTGGTGCGTGGCACTGCTGGGCACCAATCTTCAGGGCACTGATCATCAGTGCCATGATGATCAGTGCCGTTCCCGGTTCTGACAGCGTGAGGAAAGTGCAGCTGAGAACCAGCAATTGCATTTCCCAGTGATCAGCGTGTCATTGGACACAGCTGATCACGTGGTAAAAGGCCACTGTGATTGGCCTTTTACCACATCACGTGATCAGCTGTGTCCGTAGGACACAGCGATCACGGAAATCGCCAGGTGTGCCCACCCCCCCCCGTGGGCACGCAGGAGAGCGCGTTCTGGGAGGACGTCATATGACGCCCTCCCAGAACTAGCCGGCCGCAGTGCAGCCGTAATTTGCCTATCTGCAGTCGGCAACTAGTTAAAATGTTTGCGTTTTAATTTTGTTGAAAAAGTCAACAATTTCTATGGAATGTACTTAAATTTTTCACACGAGTCTATATGGTAAAAACAGGGAATTGAAGGTATGAATTGTAAACAATTAAGTACTTCATTAGCTAAACAAGTTATAGATTTTCATAAATTGTATAGCGGGAAAATATAAAATTCAAAAAACAATCTTTGGGGGAAAATGTCCTTATTTTAGTTAGTCATACTTTTCCTGCAATACAGGTTTTTCAGATTCATTCTACAATTGTAGCTGCTTTTGATTTGTGTCTTCTGATGTTATTACCAACACCAATTCATCTCACACCTTCAGATTATTTTCACACTTTCCTAGTCTATTCAGCTTTTACTGGTATATCTGCACAATCACATCTCAGTTTAACAAGCACATAATACAACTCCTTTTGATGTCTACTGTAGCTTTTTTATGAAAGCATGTTTACTAACAACTTGAAATGAGTAGCCATACTGCAGCCAAAATGCTGATTTTGTAAAAACTAGGGAAAAGTTACATTTTGCAAGCTTGCAGTCAACTTGATTTATGCTAACAATCTATCACAACAGTTTAGGAGGTTTAAAGCTGAATACCTGTATGGATTTTATAGCATAGTCACATTGGTCTACCTTGGACAAATGTAAGTATGTATATAAAATATGTGTGGGATCCTTGTGGAAGCTGGAAATCCCTGTAATAGTCATTGCTACTACAGTGAGCACCACTGTCTTCCAGGTCCCATGCCAAGCAACTGCCCTGCTACATAGTTACCACAGAGAGTTGCTTGCTCAACAATTCACAGAACTCCTTGCATTTTTCTGAATGAATGTTAGACATTCTCTGATTGGATGAGGTGGAGAGGCAGGGTAGTGATGCCACAATCTCTACATCTGTTCAGAGAAAGCTTTGTATTCATTGAGAAAAATGTAAAACATTCTGTGAACTGTGCCCGTGCTGAATGACCTCTGTGGTTACCATGCAGCAGGGCAGCCTCTCGGCTTGGATTACTGAAGACAACAGTGATCACCGTAGTAGCAGTGACTACTAAAGTGATTTACAGCTTCCACAGGGATCCCACAGGTATGGCTTATGCATGCTTAAATTGTTCCAAGCTGCAACAATGTATCAATGCAATGAAATCCATACATGGAGTTCAGCTATAATTGTTAGGCTATGGGCAAAATTGCTGTAGCTGTAATTAAAAATCATAAAATCCTTTGCTCTGAGCCAGTAAGGGATACAGCTTAATGATAATGAAGCAATGTAGGGGTGTCTAAAGCAGTCCAAATGGAGGGGTGGGCAGAGAGGTGAACAAGAAAAACACAAAGAAAAAAAAGAAACCAAGGGCATTAAACAGCCAGTTGTGGAACATTTTTGACCTAAACCATCAACTGCTGATGCACATACATTGATCATTAAGGATTTACAGAATGTAAAAAAGACTGGATCACAGTCACAGAGATCTGAGACAAAAAGCCCAAGATGTACTCACTGCTATAGTGGAGTGTAGCACTACCCCCGTAGGAGCTGCTGGTTGTACTGGGTCCTCTATTCCTACCTTGAAATCAACAAACACCTCAGCACCACTGACACCTTCGGTATACACATCAGTAAATAAAGACTGATAATTTTTGCTTATTACCTTAGGGTCACCTTGAAATGGACTCTAGACCTTAGAGTAAGATAAAGTATATTGAGAATATCAATACCCAAAAGTACAGGATATTGCTATGAGAAACACTTTGTGGGATACACAATTTCAGACTTCAAATGACAAAGTGGAAATGCTACTTTAAGTTCCGAAAAGCTCAGCATAAACTGCAGCTTTCCCCACTTACAACCTGGTCACATCAAGCCCCATTTTGAAATCGCGTTACTTACAGTGAAGTTGCACGATTTCAAAGTCAGGGGACATGCTGATTTCAAGTACGATTTGCAAGACATCTGACACCAAATCACACGAAAAGTAGAGCATGTACTATGTTAGAAATCGGTGCAGCTCCGACCAAGTCAGAACCGTACCGATTTGACCGCTGTAATTGTGGACAATAGGGTGCGACTTGGCATACGATTTGCAAGTCGCCCAGCATGCAAATCGCACCCGATGTGACAGGGGGCTAAATGACAATATAAATGGCATTGAGAGGTGACAAGGAGCACCGTAGCATTAAATTGCAATATCAATAAACATCAATTGAAAAAACCTATTAAATGCAATGGGAGGCTGACAGCTCCCACAACTAATCACATGTAGTGATCAGCCATGGACACAGACTGTAGTGTGCAAGTGTGAATGGGGCCTTATTAATACAACTGTGCCATCCTATCAGGTCTAAAGAAAATGCGGAAGCTTTGAAACGCGTCACCTGACTTATCCTTGTGTTCCCAGTGCACAATGCTTCTGGTCCGGTCTTCCGTGCATTCCACGGTGGTTACAGCATCCTTGGTTGATGGCCCTCAATTTCACTTTCCAATGGACGCACAAGGGCTCCTCAATTACATCCTCCTGGGACATAGCTCACTCGGAAATGCTCATATACTTACCACAGTTATGAGTAGTGATTTGGCTATTTTTAAATGTGTTTTTTAATACTGCACTTAGGCTGGTGCCCCCTTCTGTTCCTTTCCTTTTCCCCACTAAATGAGCAGCCTCAGGCAACTGTGACTGGATAACAATAGAGTAAGTGGTTAAGTTGCTAGTCACTTAGAATAGGGAGGCTAGGCCTAGGTCGTACTTTGTGGCTGAAAAATATCAATAAACTTTTAATTATGAAGAATAACAGGTACTCTAACACAGTCCTTATGGTAAGTCTTCTGCTGGCTACGTTGGGGACCTTGAAGACATTGGTGCGCTGGAAAGAATGTTTCTACAAACAGGGAATCAGTTGGTAGAGAACTAATTTCCTAGAACACTGAATGGGCAGTGATCAGTCAAGGATTAATATCAAGGATTAATATTTAGATGTATAGTAATATATATTTCTCAAATATTCAAGTGCACAGTTCTGAGCAGCAGGACTGTCAATGATTGTTAATGGGCAATAGGTGGTGTCTTTAAGAGTAACGGGGCAATACTGCTTTCCAATTGATTCAATACAAGGCCAGTTAAAGTGTCGCAAAGGGTTAATATTCTACTCGCGGAATTCACTGTATTTTTAGAAGAAAATTTTTTGTATGGAACAAGGACCCCCTTTAGGATGAGGATTACTTCAGGTGAACTTCTGCAGCAATCAGAGGAGCAGCCCTTGATGCTGCTGTGGTCTTTATTTAGCTCGGCACTGTCACAGCAGAGATCAGCAGGGTTTCCCATGGTAGGCCTGAG